ATATAGATAAGGATAAATATAATAGCTTTCCTACTTCAATAGAAGTAGCAACCAATATGATTAGTATATCTAATAATGCAACAAAATTTGCTGCATGCAAATTTTGTTGCAAACTATATAATATAAAAGATATATCAACAAAGAAAGCAGGACAAAACCTAAAAATACTTCGCTGTATTCATGTGGAATTACCCAACTATATTAATATCAGCAGAAGAGTATCATTTAACGCAATACTTTCAAAGAAAGTCAAGGTAAAAGATAGCATAGTCAGAAAGCCAATATCTATTTATCCTGTTATAAACCTTTAACAAATGTTCACCAAGTTGTTCCAGAGATCTGGGTTTGAAGAGGCATGCAGAAGATGGGCCTATCAACTATCCAACAACCAATTGTCAGATATATATAATGGTAGGATATGGAAATCATTCTTTGATGATGAAAGAATTTCATTTTTTCATCCAGAAACAGCCAATAGCCATATAGGATTGATGATAAATTTAGATTGATTTTAACTATTCGAATCTTCTCAATATAGTATGGGGGTTATATATGCTGTTATATGTAATCTTCCACATCAAGAAAGGTTTCTGCTCTGTTCTTTTCTTTTTTTTACATTCGTTTTTTTTTTACATTCGTTTTTTTTTTTTTTTTCTTTTTTTTTTTTTTTCATTTTTTTTTTTTTTTTTTTTTTTTTTTTTTTTACATTCGTTCTTTTTTTTTTTACATTTATATGAAAGGTTTAAAGCATCTAACATAATAACATTGGCTGTAATACCAGGACCTTCAGAACCAAAGCTGTATCAATTGAATCACTATTTAGCACTATTGTTGACCAGCTTATAGAAGGGATAGATCTATCAGCAACATTTGAGTCTCTATCTGGCAAGAGAATAAAATATGCTATAATTTGTTGTTCCAGTGATTTACCTGCAGCAAGAAAGCTTTGCAAACATATTTTGGCTAAGGTCACATGTCATGTTGTTATAAAAGGCCAATTATGATACCTGGAATCAATCTTATTTTAGTGGTATTTCTGATATAGATTCCTGGTTTATAGAACGTGACCACAACCTTATCCGAAATGATGCTATGAAATGAAAAAATTGTAAAACAGCAGATCAAAGAAAACAGCATGTTTCCAATACTCTTGTCAGATAGTCAGAAGTCTACAGGCTTTTATACTTTAATTCTGTTAGGTTTCTGGTGGTGGACCCAATATATTACCTCTTTCTGGGTATAGCAAAATAGGTTGTAACTAAGTTATAGATTAAAGGTAACTGGCTGACTTCTCAAAAATTAGAAATTATACAGTTGTCAGCTGACCAAATCGATATACCATCCGATATTGGTAGAATCCCTCGCAAAATTTCTACTGGAGAAAGGTTTTCAAGGTTCACGGCAGATTATTAGAAGACCTTTATTCTCATATATGCAACCACAATTTGTTGGGATCTGCTGTATGATGCTTTAGAAATATTCTAACTTATTTCATTTGGTCGTGTAGCATATTAGTTTGTAGAATTATTGGTGAAAAAGATTTGGAAGAGGTATATCAATATCTAATAGCAATGATAAAAATTATTGAAAAAATATATGGTCCTGAAAAAATATCACCAAACATTCATCTAAGCCTTCATATATGTGAATGCACTTTAGACTACAAACCTTTAAATTCTTTCTGGTGCTTCAGTTTTGAACGAATAAATGGATTACTAGGTAAGTAATATATGAAAAATTAATAATTTAGCCGATACCCCTATACTCGATCTTAAAATTCGTCTAAACCAAATTGATTATTACTAAATTTGTAAAGTAAAATCATGTGAACATATAAATTACCTACAATCCCAATCTTATAGATGGCAGTAGAATTCAAAAAAGGAAATTTTAACAATGATTACTAATCATTTTTCTTTGATAAAATTTTCTTTTTTGAATTCTACCACCACCTATTCGTCATAATTCAAATAAAGAAATTTGTAATAAAAAATCAAATTTCCTTTTTTGACTTATGATAAACCTATAATTCTAAGTAATATATATAATATATATATTTATTTTTTATAGGAAGCTACGAAAATAGTAATAGGAAAATTGAATCAGAACTTATGAACATCATCCAAATAAATAAACATGTTGATAGATTAATTAGTAACAGTAATGATACTTATTTACTGGAAAGCTTGTCTATTTTGGATCCAAAACTATTGGCTAGAAGCTTAAGTGTTTATGATATATCCAATAATGAAGTGATAGAATTCATTTCTATGTCAAGATCAATTGAAGAAAGAATCGATACTGGTACAGAGTCTGATTCATTTCCTGGAACCTTTCTTATACCAAAGAAAATAAACGCCCACGTCTCCCAAGAATTCGTGAAGTTACTCACTGAATACTATAATAATGCATATGAAACTAATATATTCGTTCATTTGGTAGATTTAGCATCAGATAGGTCGATAGCCGTATCACTTATTATAAACCAATATGGAAGAATTCAAATAAGTGCAGAAGTTTTCGGTTTAACTTTTTCAAAGAGACATGAAAATTCTTCAAGAATACTTGCAAAATTTTCAGATGGTGATGATGTGACTACGTATTCAGGCCAGGTTCAGTTTTTTTTTGAGCATTCTATCGACTACCCAGAAGTATCAACAAAGCATAATCTCACATATGTCCGTTGGTATAAAAAGTTAAAAGATGAAAAATTAAGATATCATCTTAATATTGGCAAAAATGATGACAAACTATGTAATATGGAATTATGGAATAAGGAGTTTTATGATATAGATCATAATTGCATAATTCCTATACATAATATACTGGGTAGATTTGTTGCTAGTATTTATACCATTGGGTCACAAAAGCCTCGTGAATATATGTCCGTAATTCTATTAAATAGAAAATATAATATCTAATTATATACAATTTATATTATATATAATTTAATTATCCATATTATTAAATGTGATTTATTACTATTTTAAAATGATCAGAAACTGATGTTTTATACATATTGATATATTTAAGAATTATATGTACATATCAGATAAAATACTTTATTGTTATACAATAATTTTTATATAAATAACTATACTTAAACAACATATTATATAACAATAATATATATTTTTCAAAATAATATTGATGGCCGATACCTGTTTCTCCAAAATACTAGCTAATTTCGTAGAGATATTTTCTCAGCTGATATTTACTAATACTTTCGGTTTAAAAGCTAAAATTCCAGTACTATTTCGGCAAGATATAATCAATCTATATCCCTTATAGATATCTTGATAAATTTTCATTATTATATATAGGAATATCGGACAGCCGATATTTTATCTGATATTTTGGTATTTGACCTGTGTCTTGGTAACAAGAATATCTACTACAGAGCCATATTAATCCTGACTGATACAATACTCTTACTTTACTAATTACAATTGAAGAAATAACTTCAATTATCACTAAGCTTCCAAATAGCAAAACTTGTAGATCTACTGGTATTAGCTATGAAATGATCAAGCATTCTGGTCTAATATGTTTACAAGCTCTCACAGTTCTTTTTAATCTTTGTCTTACTCAGAGTCAAATCCCAAAATAATGAAAAATAGTAAAATATTTTCTATATCCAAATATAATATTTTTGA